CAATTATAATGTCTTATGGGAGATCAAAGAGTAGAGCTATATTTCTTGACTATGATGGTACATTGGTGCCACAGGCTTCTCTCTACCAGAAACCGAGTGAAGAATTAGTAAGCATCATTAATACCCTATGCTCGGATAAGAACAACATCGTCTTTATTGTCAGTGGAAGAAGCAAGAATAGCTTGGGATCAATGTTCTCCTCATGTCCAATTCTAGGCATCGCGGCAGAGCATGGCTATTTCTTAAGGTACAATTTTTTATTACCACTGTTGTACATTTTGCTTCAGATTAACAGTGAAGTCTGTACTTTATTCAGACATAATAGGAATAGGAGTCTAGGTCAACTGCAGATGCAAAGGTCTCAGTGTTTTCTGCTTCATCGAGCAAATAGCAATCTAGTTTACTTTTGTTGGTTTTTCTTGTATCAATAGGAAATTCTTCATTTGTTCCTTGTCAGGCTACTACATGCACCAGTTGTTTGTTTGGTACTCCCTCCATGAAATTAGGGCGTCAGGTGGGAGAATAACGCAGTGCTTGACAAAATACCCCTCCCTCGGATCTGCTTTACTGATTCACATTATTACCTGTCGCTGCATGCACATAGCATGATTGGCTAAGGCTGCGCATTCTGCTCCTCTATAGCATTCACACTCTAGGATTGGCCAGCGTGAGGCCCATATTAAACGGATGCTTGTTATCGAGGCGCGTGGAGCGAGTATTTTGCGGCGCTTTTCAAGGGTAAATCTGGGAAATAAACTGCATGAGATTCTCTCCTTAATTGCTGTGCTCAGAATTGTACGCCCTCCTTTGGCGATCGGAGGGAGTACTTCACTGTAATGACCAACTAGCGGAGTCAGTAATTAGAACTTGTAGGTTCATGCACCTTATGTTCATTAAACTCGTGTACCAGGTTCTGCTTTTACTTCACACACGTCATAAGATGTTTGTTCATGTTTCTTGGCTGCCCATTTCTGTTTAGCGTTTTTATTACCTGGGGAGAATGGAGATCGTTGCAGACTGATCATGATTTTTAGAATCCACTGGAGAATTAAATAGATGACGAAACACTATGTTTCCATATTGTAGGTGGACAAGAGATGAAGAATGGCAAACCAGTACCCAGTCCCCAGATATTGGATGGATGCAGATGGCCGAGCCAGTGATGAATCTTTATACAGAAGCAACTGATGGATCCTACATTGAAACCAAAGAGACTGCTTTGGTGTGGCACCATAGGGATGCTGACCAAGGCTTTGCGTCTTCTCAGGCAAAGGAGATGCTTGATCACCTGGAAAGTGTACTAGCAAATGAAGCAGTCTCAGTCAAGAGCGGCCAGTTCATTGTTGAAGTCAAACCTCAGGTTCGCCATTACCATTTGTTGCATTACATTAGACGAGGTCACCAATTTTTGTGCCATCCATAGAGTACATGCGCACATGATTTTCCCTTCATTTGTACTCCCTCTGTCCGGAAATACTCGTCGGAGGAATGGATGTATCTAGATGTATTTTAGTTATAGATACATTCATTTTTAGGCATTTCTCCGACAAGTATTTCCGGACGGAGGGAGTATCTGTATGAGATAACCTATGACTTGCTCTGCATTTAGCTGGTGCCCCTACCTGATGTTCGCATAATACTTCTGTGTCAATCACACAAGCCATGTTGTTTCTTGTACATTACAGTGGGCCTCGATCACATGCCCGTAATTCTAAGTCTGCTTGTAATCAGTTTCCTGCTTTTTTGCTGGATTTGGCTGGCGCTACGTCCGCTGATTCGGTGAATTAATTAGCCAGATGAGCTGCGTCACATGCAAGCGTGAGGGGCGATGCTGTATGCAGAATTTAATTAGTTACATTTGTGTAATTGACGCAACGACAAATGCATGCCTGATTTAAAAGTTCCTTCCTCTCTATCCCGTTGGTGCATGTGGTCAGCATTGCACGAGGAATTAAATCTTTTCTGTAACTGGTGCCGAGTTAATGTTGCATTGGTCTCAATCTCAGCGTTTTGGCCAACGGGCCTTTTAAACCCAGACGGATGAAGTAGTCACTAGGCTTCTTGTACATTACAGCGAGGCTTCTATATTTATTACCTTCACAACTTTACCCTGTTGTGAATACCTTTCAGTTTTACGTTAGGTAAGGAGTATATTGTTTTAAAACAAATTTGTGATTTGTATTCAAAATTTATTCTCTTTATGTGGCCTTGCTTGCTTCACCATATCAACAATATAAACTGTCCTTGTTTAGTTGTTTACATGAGTACTGTCATACGCAGTGCATGCATCATATTGCATCCACTTCTTTCCCTCTTTAGATGCTTTAATTTTTTCAAAAATGTCATTCAATCAGAAGTATGGAAATTGACCACAATGGTTTTACTAAATTATTTCAGGTTTTTATTTTTTCTGATCTTTGCACTGCTGCTGAATTTCCATTAATTCGCTTGGTTGTCTCTTTGTACTGCAGGGTGTTAGCAAAGGTCTTATAGCTGAGAAGATACTTGCATCAATGAAGGAGAAAGGTCAACAGGCAGATTTTGTTTTATGCATTGGTGATGATAGATCCGATGAGGATATGTTTGAAAATATTGCGGATGCCATGAAAAAGGGCATTGTTGCTCCAAAAACACCACTGTTTGCATGTACTGTGGGGCAGAAACCGAGCAAAGCCAAGTTCTACCTGGACGATACATATGAAGTAGTCAGTATGCTGAGTGCACTAGCAGAAGTTTCAGAACCAGACCCAACGGCAGGCTTGACAGATGACTTGGCTACATCAGTCTCCTCGTTAGACATCGGTGATGAACAAATACAGTTCAGTAATACAAGGATAGAAGGATCTTAGCCTGGAACTGAATCTGCATACTATGATGCTTTGACTCACTAAAACTATTTTCTTTGATCCGAAGCGGTGGAAGCAGTGGGTAAATGACCCACAGCAGGGCAAAAACTATCTTACAGGTCACAATCATTAATTTCTTGGACTCATGATTCATTGTAGAGAAGAAAATGTGTTTCTCCTGGTGGACAAGGAGTTATATAGTCTGAAGCTGCAGAGAGAGGGGTTACAATCTGGTAGCTACAATAGCCTCGTTCCTCAGTTGGTTACTGCATTTCAGTGGGTTGGCTGCAAGAAGACTCATATGTGCATAGCTGATCTTTCATGCTCTTCTGTTCTCCGTGATATGGAGAATATTGGTGTTAAACCTGTGAAAGGACAACTATTGCAGCTTGTCTGTCGGCTTGATTAACAAAAAGATTGTCTAGTCAAGAAACCTAGTTTTTCTTTTCTTGTAATGTTGCGCAGGTGTCTGACTATCAAGGATGAGATTCAGATGATAATTTGACAGCGCTATGTGCACCCTTATATCTGGCTATGTTTTACCTTAGGTTGCTATATATAATTCATAATGTCATGAACTTATAGTAGTTTGTATTGCTGATGATCACTAAAAAAAATAGTGTGCTATAGCATCGCTATAGCCTTTGAGAGGAGCCGCTGCTACGCTATAGCCAATTTCTTCGCCATGGCTGCTATATATCACACTAAATTACACAATAGCATGCTAAATTGTGCTAAATCACATAAGCTTTTAGCGTCGCTATTTCATAGACGGTTGGAACTCAAGCCCAATTGTTTTCCACGGCCAAAATCAAGACCTTACCTCTCCCAGTTCCCTACTCATGGCGTGTTGAGATGTGCTCGTCATGGCGTGCACGCTAGCTGCCGAGACTTGTGGAGCGGCGATGGAGCTGGTGAGGGAGCTCGTGGAGGGAAAGCTCATCGGCGCCGAGGACTCCGCCACTCCATTCCTCCCTCTCTTCTCAAAACCACCACGGCTAGGAGGTGGCACGATGTTGCAGCCATCTGCGTGACCTGCAAGTGGGTCATCGGCACCCACAAGCAAGTGCTGGTCTGTTGCTCTCCAGTTCTTAATGTTGTGGTCTAGAGATGTACTGATGTAGCATCGCAATTAGCAGTTATTGAATTCATGCTCCAACCAACTCATTCAAAAAGTCCGAACTAATGAAGAAAGGCGGGCAATATACTTCAACAGTGATTTTAGCTATAACATCGGTGAAATACTACAAAAGTGGGGCATATCTACTACTCCAGTGTCAAAAAACGTCTTACATTATGGGACAGAGGGATTATTTTTTTTCCTGCAAAACACTATTTGATTTAGCATCCACTATACTATAGCGTCCAAAGGAGGCTGCCACTAAATCACATAGCCTACTATTTTTGAAAAACATAGCCTGCTATTTTTTTCACTAGCTGATGATACTTGGCCCTCGCTCGGTATTAGTTTTTGCTTATAAATGTTTTGCCTGAATGAGGCAGCACCGCGCAAGGAGATTTTTTTTTAATTTTCAGGTGCAGCACAGGGAGATTGACAGACCTATTTTTCGTCCATCATCATTAGAACTTGGCACGATTAGTATCATTAGCTTACCTCAACTCTTAAGGCCGATGATAAGTAAGGTTCCCAGTTGTGTTTTTACTGTTCCCCTAAAAAAAAGGTTGTGTTTTACTGACTATTCATCACGAGTCTGAGAAAGAATAGATTGCACTTGTGTGGTGCTCCTATGCTAGAAAGATTCAGAGTGGGCATCTTTAGAAAATAAATAGTACTGTAACAGTTAGGAAGAGGATGCTCTTATTTTTATTCCGAAAATGGCAAACGTCACAACTAGCGACGCTCCTCCTGAACGCTGATACTGACAACCATTGTTTACAAATGATCTGTACCACTGAACTGAGCATCAGTCAATGGCGAACGTACTGACTACTGTGATAATACAAGATGAACAACACCTCGGAGGAGGATGCTCTTATTCACTCCGAAAACCGAAACATCACATCAAGGTTACAAATGATCTACACCACTGAACCGAAGGTCTCATCAGTACAATAATACACCACATGGTACACAATACTGTAATGTACAGCACAGTGAGAGAAGAACCGCGGCTGCAAGCGTCGGCTCCAGCCTCAGGAGAAGAGGTACACCAACTCGAAGGATTTCCTGCACAAGGCATGTCACGTATCCATTTACTTAGCGGGTGGATGGAGAAGCAGACGGTGCAGCACTGTAGTACGTATGAAGCTATATACAAGACCAGCGGAGGCGACTTACGAGGTTTTCCCGGAAAATGTAGGGCTGTAGTTGTAGATCAGGTTGTCCAGCACCTTGTCAGCAGGAGGCCTGTTGGGAGACTTGCGGGCTTGGCTGTTTCACGACAGGGCAAACCGTGAGATAAACAAACACAGTGTCACTTCTCGATAGTTGCATATGTATGAAAAGTATGGAGTTCCGAATTCATGTCCGTTTGGAGCATCGATGTTTTAAAAGCTATGCCCCCTTAATTAGGGGGTTGTGATGGGTGATAAACTGTGAACTCGGTTCATTTTTTTTTGAAACGGAAATGGGCAAAAAGCCAGAAGCAAGTTGCCCAACGGGAACACACATAAGGCTGAAGGCCTATAACTGCTTAGCAGGGAGCTACGACACCATAAAATAAATTTGAACAGGTAATTTGCCATCTGTGCATTATGGTCAATGCATATGTGAATAACCAGATGCCATGTTGCTTATAACGAATAAAAAAAATGGTATTACAGACCTGATAAAATAGTTGGCAAAATTTTGAGTCACTTGTACCGCGTCCTCGCTGTGTGGGATCATTGGTTTACCCCACTCGAAAATGGCTTTCTGCAGTAAGTGAACAAGCTAATTACGATCTAACCTCTGAAGATATCATGTTTACCCAAGTGACCAGTGGCCACATGAAGAAATATCACGGCCTGAATATAGTTTATAAAGACAAGACATTTTGATAGCAGCCTAGCGATATATAATACTGAATAATACCAGACAACAATAAATGTGATGCAAAAATATACATAGTTCTATGAACACATTAGTGGATTTACATCTCCAATTTCAAAAATAAAGTGTACCACTACAGTCAGCATACCTCAGGATGCCACTGAGTGCAAGTGATCGGGTATTTCTGTGCTTCGACGGTTGAGATGTAAACCTGATTTGCCAAAGGAAAGGGAATCAATTTGTTGTATCATACGATGACTCGACAATCATTTACTAGGATTAAATATTTGGAAGAAGATTTTCCAGATTCTTCATCAAAGTTGTCTTCTATATACATTGATTTAGCACTTCCCTCTGAATTAGGCTGGTTGAGATTTCAAACCAGTTAAGTATACAAGGTGTAATAAAAAGATGACATATTGTACCTCACCGTTTTCATCAGGGGATGTGGTCAGAATCTTGAAGAAACTTGATAAGGCATCATTCTCTCGCATTCTCTTCGGAGATATACCATACTTTGACCAGTTAAGAAATTAAACCATGTTAGGGAAAATAAGGAGATAAAGATACTTGTTCTTCAATCTGCATAATAAGTTGCTGCTTCAAAATCGCCAGCCATTTTCTCTAAAAAAATCGCCAGCCATGATTTGGCTCAACTAAGTGTATCATATCAATGTTAATTTGAGCTGAGGTCGAAGATAAGATGTGATGAGCATCCAAGATGATTTTTCTTCTAACACAAAATGACACATTTGGGTGTGTGTTCAAGGAAAAAAAAGAGCACCCAGAATTCTACTTACTTTGTGATTTTGCATGACAAGACAACTGGTGCTGAGTTTCTGGATGAGATCAGGATGAAATCTGTGAATTAGATCATTTTTTATTAGACAGGTATACAAGGAATATTATAAGCCAAGCCACAGAGAGTCAATGAGCTAGCAATAGAAGGCCGTATTCGTGCCATAAATAAAGTAAAGAGGAACAAGGTTATATCATAGACAGATAAATAGAAAGGTATTTGAAATATGCTAGTGATGTCATAACATATGTCTTTTTTACTTTACCACTACGGATAACCTCGAGAATAGTGCCTGTGTTTCAGGGAGCAATCTAGATATAATATCTACTTCTGAAATCTAACCAACTGCATAGTCGACACCAATTTATTTTCCTTTTGTTATTTCAAATTTGAATGGAACATATTGTAAATGTTAATCTTAACTGTATTTTCTCTGTAAAGAAGAACCTAACTTCCGTAATATTTTCGTACAGAGGAGAGGGCAAGAAACATGGCTGCAAGTGCCCATGCAGACTTTCAGTCGAGGAAGGTGGGAAAACTGCAGTTTAACGCCAATACAATTTTTAAATAAAAGGCTCACGTGACCATGCAGCACCCATCTTTAAAAATATATTATTTTTTAGAATCCCTACCTTTCAAACACTGATCCCTGGAGTGAAGAATAATTGGGGAACTGAAGAGTTGATGCTTGATCTGAGGCGTGGAATGACTCCAAAATATTATTGTCCTAATACCAACATAGAGAAAAGAGCCAGTTGTCAGTTTGTAGATACAATACACAAACTTGGTATGGAACACACCAAGTGTCTATGTCCTGTTCAGGGAACAGAACAGTGCAGCCAACCAGCCGGTTCTTCACTGCATCACATGAGGCAAGAGCAAATGTATACTTTTAAATTCTAACACATCACAGATATCTCAATTTGAGACTGTCCTAATAATATAAGAAATTCAAATTATTTTTGTACCTTAGCAACTAAATTTGCATGTTGACGTCTGTAATTTTTGTTCATTATCTTAGAAAAAGGAGAAATTACCTTGCTCACAATCATGCTTACAAGCTCAAAGCCAAGACACTGTGCAAACAATGGAAATGGAACTCCTGCATCATTTTTGTCCAAGACATACTACAGAAGATAAACAAAGAAAGTGAGAATTATCCAGTAACGTCTGGTCCCATTCTGTGTGAACTAGGACCAATAATATGATGTTACCATACTGTGATATAGTATGTTCTTAATAATGGAAGCAAGTACAGAGCAGAAGTGAATAGCATGTCTGAAACACATAGAAGCTGCCAAATAGATAGGTACCTGAAACACTTTCTTAATCGTCTCAAAATATGGACCCCTCTTTACTGATCCACCAGTAAACAGCACGCCGTTCACCAAACTGAGTTTCTGCAGTAGAGAAGGGACACCGGCAAAACTATCAGTAATTACTACCTGAGAGATAATATGTAGGTACTACTGAGCAAGCAGGGGGCTACCAAGTAAAAGTAACTAACAGGTGATCTGTTGTCCTGAGATCAAATGACTGCAGAACACGAACAATATTTAATTATTTATAGTAGTCAGAGACATGATAGGTTAACTGTTTCATCTTGATCTGAAACAGATGAACAGTAACATAAGCTAGTCAGGCACGTGCTAGGGTAACTGTTTCATCTAGATCTTTCTTTAAACCTGCTTCATCGTGATCTGAAACAGATGAACAGTAACATAAGCTAGTCAGACACTGAGTGATCAAGTCACGATCCACCTTGCTATTGATTTGCCATTCCTATGTAAACATGTACTCCACTTTAAATGTGGAGAAATTCTAAATAATCAGAACTACCAGATGTTCCGTTTTGCACTGTCAGAAAATGATTTAAACTGGTACATACAGTACATAGTTAGTTGACTAACAAGGATTTTGGTTTGACTTCCAAAGAACTGGCAGTTGTCAGATAGAACTACACTCACATTTAAGCAGCAGAAAGAAAAAGGGAGAGACTGAAGGGGGAGGGAGGGAGGGATCTGGAAGCGCTGACCTCGAGGAGGCGCTCGTCGGGCTCGTTGTAGATGAGCGGGATGACGCGGGCGCCGCCGGCCTCGACGAACTTGACGTAGGAGGCGCCGATGTAGGAGGTGGAGGTGCCGTTGTCGATCCTCCCGGCCGCGCCGTCGCCCGGGTGCGTGACGATGCCGATCACGGGGCGGTCGTAGACGGCTGGGTCCGCCGGCGTGGCGCAGGCCCCGGCGCGCGGCAGCCGGATGACGCCCGGCGCCGCCGCCGCCGACGAGGTCCCGAGGAGGGCGAGCAGGAGGAGGAGGGGGAGCAGGTGCCGGGGAGGAGAAGCCATGTGGAGCTGTGGACAATTGGACTGTGCCGGCTGGGAGTGGGCTCGCTTCAAGCAGGTCGCTTTTGTTATCGCCTCGTGGCTGGACGGGAGAGGAGGATTTACTGAATAATAATAGGAGCATGTGGTTCGCGCGGCGATCTAAAAAATGGATCTGCTGGGAAGAGTGGCGGAACGTGCAAACCTCACGTGTTTTCGAAAATAACAACTGCCCCCTAGGCGTTAGCACTTTGGGCATCTCCAGTGGTTTGGCCCCAAGGGCAACCGGTGAAGTGTTTTTGACGTTTGCGCAGGCGTTTTTTTCAGTCTGGGTGCGATCGAGTTCCCAGCCGCGCCCCCAGGTTTCGGCTTTCCCGCTACCAGATGGGGCAGGCGAATCTGAGTGCGTCGGCGGCGAGTAGATGTACTGAGTGTTGAGGCCGGCGGCGAACACGGGGGAGGGAGTGCGCGGGTCGTGGTTGAAGCCGGACGGGGACACGCGCGGCGCCGCGCCATGCGGGAAGGTGATGTTGGGGTTGAAGCCGCCGTGCGCGTCGCCGTCGGCGTAGCCAGGCGAGGCCGTGTACCCCCATAGTGGCGGCGAGAAATTGGCCAGCGACGCGACGCTCTGCTGGCTCCCCCACGCGGATTGCGGGCACTGGCTGCCCTGTTGAGGCGGAAGGTTCGCCATCCCCGTGCGAGACGCTCCCTCCTGCTCCGCTGCCACCGCCGCGGCATCCCTGACCTTCTTCAAGATGAGCTTGTTCCGTCGGTCGCCGGTGACCGCCTCCCTGGGACAAATGTCGGCGTTCCACCGGGCGTTCGACATGCCCGGCAGCCTTGCCTTCGGCGCCCTGGCTTCCTCTTCTTTGGCCGGACGGACTCAGTGGCTTGGCGAGGGGGCGCATACTTCTTCGGCGGCATGGTAGGCGGATCAGAGGAGAGAATGGCGGAAGTGGTGGGGGAGAAGGGCGATACCGGGGAAATGGAGGGAAAGGGGGAAGAAAATGGCGGGAAATAGGCCGGTGTCACCGACATTACGAGCCCACACGCCTTTTTGCTTCAGCTGGCGCCCGCTGGTGTGCTGGGTTCGAGTTGGGTTCGCCGGTTGTAATTTCGGCCCAAGCCGGCAATAAACGAGGATCGAGGGGGGGGGGCGACTGGGCCCTTTTCCCGCCATCGGTGCTAAAAAAGGTGCCCTAGGGGGCCTGTTGGGGGCGACTGGAGATGCTGTTAGCAGCAGTAGTAGCAAAGCTGCTAAGAGCATCTACAGCCGGACTTTGCAAATTTGACCCCTCAAACGCCGCGGACAGTGACTGTGCACGCCTCAAAAAATGCATTCCACATCCGGATATCTTAAATTAGAAACCTGGAATCTATATTATTACATGCAACGTGAAACCTAATCTAAATGGAGCTCGCGTGGTGCCGCTCCCCGCTTGCCCGGCTCCGCCCTGGCCATGTCTGATGGCTGGCTGCGCTCCTCGAAATGTTGGTCCGGTCGCCGTCAAGGTAGAGCAGGGCATGAGACACGAGCTGGCTCACGGGACTCAATGCGCCGTTGTCTCCCATGCCCTACTCTTCCTCATCGGAGCCTGGAACCCGTTGGGTGCCGGTGGACGTCAGGTCGATGATTGATCCACCCGGGGACGAGCCGCCGACGTCCACCACGATGCGGTTGCATCGCCCGGACTGATGCCCCATACGGGCGCCGGAGAATGCGACTCCGCCTCGCCGACGTCCGCCGCCGCCTCCCGCGCCCAGTGCCTTGCACGGCGGGCACGCCGTGCCATGGCCTCGTGGGACGATGGTGCGTCCCGAATATCGGCGTGCCAATGGAGGGATTGCGTGTCCGCCAACGCTTTCGGACGCCAGACGGACCGCACGGCCTCCAGTGAGGCAGCTGCGACTGGCCTAGCGCCGGATCCATGCCCCATTTGGGCGGACGCAATGAATTCCGGGCGGTTGGAGTTCAAGTGCAGCCGTGCACGAGCCTCCTCCCAAGCGCGGCGGAGCGCAAGCCAGACGGCCATCTCCTCCCCGGGGCCGCGTGGGATGAGTTTGGGGTCGACGGATCGGGAGGTGATGGACTCGGATCCGCTGCCCGCCATGCCGGAGACGGCTGGAAGGAGCCGGAGACGAGCTTGTGTGGCGGAGGAGAGAGGAGTAGATGGGAGTGAACTTGTTAGGGTTTGGGCCGGTGAGTGGATGGAGAGGAATTTATGTGGGGTCGGGTGAGCCAGCGTGGGCCGGGTCCGACGTGGCGTGCGTGCCTGGCCCCCATATTCGCCCCATATTTGGGCTGGGTATGGGGGTGCCGGTCAGGCCGGGCGTTTGAGGGCCGTTGGAGGAGCCCGTCAGGGTAAAAAATCGTGACCGGGCAACCTGTCCAGGCATATAAGGTGGGTTTGAGGCGCCCGACTATAGATGCTCTAAGATCCACATCTCGTCATGTGCAAGACATGTGCGACGTAAGAACATATGGCGCCCCAAACCCCACTCAACGCCCGGACGAACGTCCAGTCAGTGATAGCTAAAGAAAAGCCGACTCAGACGGACATCTCAAACAGGTGTCAAACGCTCAGGTTGATCGGCACCTGTCATATCCAACTCCAATATAGGGCTGATATGGAGAGGCACGACCGAGCGCATCCGCCACGTCGGACTCACGGTGGGGTCCCACATGGAATCGCTCGGAAACCCACGGTACGACGGACGTCTCCTCGGTGGGGTTACGAACGTCGTGTGGCACCACTCTGACTCGCCGTCCGAGGCCAAATCCGGCTATTTAGGCCGGCAGGCGTCCCCCAACCCCAGCCACATCCGCCTCCTCCCTCTCCGTGCCGCCAGCCCGAGCCAATCCACCTCTCTCCCGCACCACCGCTCTTCCCACGCCGTCCGGGTTCGCCATGGCCTGACAAAAGAAGACGACATATGCTATGCTCATGCCGGAGCACTGATACGTCTCCAAGTATCTATAATTTATGAAGCATTCATGCTATTATATTATCTGTTTTGAATGATTACGGGCTTTATTATACACTTTATATTACTTTTGGGACTAACCTATTAACCGGAGGCCCAGCCCATATTGTTGTTTTATTGCTTGTTTCAATATTTCGAAGAAAAGGAATATCAAACGGAGTCCAGACGAAATGAAACCTTCGGCAGCGTGATTTTTGGGAAGAATATGATCCGAGAGACTTGGAGTTCACGTCAGAAGATCCTCGAGGAGGCCAGGAGACAGCTGGGCGCGCCCCCTATCTCGTGGGCCCCTCGAGCACCCCCCGACCGACTTCTTTCGCCTATATAGTCCCACGTACCCTAAAAACATCAACGAAGAAGATAGATCGGGAGTTCTGCCGCCGCAAGCCTCTGTAGCCACCAAAAACCTCTCGGGAGCCCGTTCCGGCACCCTGCCGGAGGGGGGATCCCTCACCGGTGGTCATCTTCATCATCATCCCGGCGATCTCCATGAGGAGGAGGGAGTAGTTCACCCTCGGGGCTGAGGGTATGTACCAGTAGCTATGTGTTTGATCTCTCTCTCTCTCTCTCTCTCTCTCTCTCTCTCTCTCTCTCTCGTGTTCTCTCTCGTGTTCCCTCTATGGCACGATCTTGATGTATCCTGAGCTTTGCTATTATAGTTGGATCTTATGATGTTTCTCCCCCTCTACTCTCTTGTGATGGATTGAGTTTTTCCTTTGAAGTTATCTTATCGGATTGAGTCTTTAATGATTTGAGAACACTTGATGTATGTCTTGCCGTGCTTATCTATGGTGACAATGGGATATCATGTGACACTTGATGTATGTTTCGGTGACCAACTTCCGGGTTCCGCCCATGAACCTATGCATAGGGGTTGGCACACGTTTTCGTCTTGACTCCCCGGTAGAAACTTTGGGGCACTCTTTGAAGTACTTTGTGTTGGTTGTGTTGGAAATATGCCCTAGAGGCAATAATAAAATGATTATTATTATATTTCCTTGTTCATGATAATTGTCTATTATTCATGCTATAATTGTGTTATCTGGAAATCGTAATACATGTGTGAATAAATAGACCACAACATGTCCCTAGTGAGCCTCTAGTTGACTAGCTCATTGATCAACTGATAGTCATGGTTTCCTGACTATGGACATTGGATGCCGTTGATAACGGGATCATATCATTAGGAGAATGATGTGATGGACAAGACCCAATCCTAAGCATAGCACAAGATCGTGTAGTTCGTTTGCTAGAGCTTTTCCGATGTCAAGTATCTTTTCCTTAGACCATGAGATCGTGTAACTCCCGGATACCGTAGGAGTGCTTTGGGTGTACCAAACGTCACAACGTAACTGGGTGACTATAAAGGTATACTATGGGTATCCCCAAAAGTGTCTGTTGGGTTGACACGGATTGACACTGGGATTTGTCACTCCGTATGACGAAGAGGTATCTCTGGGCCCACTCGGTAATGCATCATCATAATGAGCTCAAAGTGACCAAGTGTTTGGTCATGGGATCATGCATTACGGTACGAGTAAAGTGACTTGCTGGTAACGAGATTGAACGAGGTATTGGGATACCGACGATCGAATCTCGGGCAAGTAACGTACCGATTGACAAAGGGAATTGTATACGGGGTTGCTTGAATCCTCAACATCGTGGTTCATCCGATGAGATCATCGAGGAGCATGTGGGAGACAACATGGGTATCCAGATCCCGCTGTTGGTTATTGACCGGAGAGTCATCTCGGTCATGTCTGCGTGTCTCCCGAACCCGTAGGGTCTACACACTTAAGGTTCGATGACGCTAGGGTTGTAGAGATATTAGTATGCAGTAACCCGAAAGTTGTTCGGAGTCCCGAATGAGATCCCGGACGTCATGAGGAGTTCCGGAATGGTCCAGAGGTGAAGAATTATATATAGGAAGTCCAGTTTCAGCCATTGGGAAAGTTTCGGGGGTCACCGGTATTGTACCGGGACCACCGGAAGGGTCCCGGGGGTCCACCGGGTGGGGCCACCTATCCCGGAGGGCGCCA